TTCTCTGGAGAAGTAGTTGAAGTAGAAATCCAGGCAGATACTAAATTTATTTTATATTGTGGGGTCCTGTTAATAAAGTTAATTTATAATTACCATAATAAAGTTAAATCAATTTACTTGCCAAGCCTGTAGCTCATAAATGAAAAAAAACTCAAGAAGTTTAGGGTAAATCACAAGCCAACATAACTTCATAATCCTTTGCAGTAGGAAATACTGGACTTCACTCCTAAAATACTGCAGTACTAAGGAGTGGATAATTCTTCATGTATTTATTTAAATATGTTGAAATGCCTTAGAAGGATATAACGCAGAGAAAATTGCTCAGATTTGATTTTTAAAGTACAGGTTTTTGGATCTAAACACCTTGAAGGTGATTTCAAAAACTGTCTGGAGTGGCTGCCTCGGTGGCAGCAATTTGTCCTCTGGAGCACGTGGAGTGAATCCTTCCATGCAGGTCTTTAAAATTTAGAGAGGCCCTTTTATCTCCAGACACAATTTCTGTGGTACATTGTGGGAAATGCTTCATGGAACAGAATCAGAATAAGCTTTTCATTTGACTAATAGTTACTTGTCTAGGCAAATCCCAGGACAGATAATTTTATGATCTGTGGATGTAGAGAGACTTAGTCTTGATTAGGCAAAGCTCAGTGCCACGGTTCTGTTGTGAATTGGCACAGGAGGAACCTGCTCTCCTCATGGTGCTTGAAGGAGTAATTTTTCTTGAGGACTGTTATGAGCAGGAAGTTAAGGAGGTGAAGTTAGACACCTTATTTCATTTTCTACTCAGGTTGCAAATGCCTCGTGGGGAGGGAGAGAGGATTAACCTCATTGGTCTGTGCCCCCTGAGGTGTTCAGCTCCGACACTAAGAAAGTTAATTTGTCTGTGTTTTGCTTGCTGTGAGTTTTCCCCTTTTCTCCCCTAATTCACCTCCCTGCCCCATTCTTTTTGCCCTTCCTCTCCTGCAGATCTGGGTGAGGAAAACCAGCGACAGCACCAAGATGAGGATCTACCTGGGGCAGCTGCAGCGGGGCGTGTTCGTGATCCGCCGGCGATCGGCCACCTGACTCTGCTCCGCCCTGCCCTGGTTTTTATCGGATCACCCAGCTCTGCCAGGGGCTCACAGGCTGCTCACTCCCTCCAGCAGCAGGGAACAGTCCTGACCTCTGACGAGACACTTTGTGGCTGGCCACATAATCCCCAGTAGTCCTTAAACCTTTAGTGATGCCCAAGCACTGCCCTGGACTGTTTCTGGATTTTGCATCAAGCTTCTGTACGCTCTCTTTGTATTTTGGGTGACTGTTTGAGAAGACTTTGCCTCATCCTCCTTTTCATCGTTGTTTTGTGGTGCACAGACGGGACTCGTGTGTCAAAACCATCATCATCATGTTTCTGTTGGGAGTCAGAGCAGTGGAAGAAGCTTTGCTTGTCGAGGCCTGAGGTTATTTGTGCTTTTTGGCCTTGTTTTACTGCAAGGCTTAGGATTTTGGACAAAAGATGAATCCTGCCAGGTTTCAGCCACAGCTGAGAGATGCCTCCAAAATACCTGGTGCACAACATCAACTTTATTGGATGGACTGTTGAAAGACTGGGGACTTTTTTTAGGATGGTGTGAACAGCTCAAACTGCTGAAAATACAGTGATTTTAATGTAGCTCAGAGTCACGCGTGGTTAGTCAGAAGCTTCAGTTTCTCTTCACATTAAAAAACCCTTCAATGAACAAGCAGAGTATGTCTGTTTGCTGATATAATTACCTGGGATAGGTGAATGACTAAATGAAAGGAATAATTACCTGGATTTTGCAGATAGCAAGGCTGTATGAACTCTGTGTGTGGCTGTAATCACTCACAGATGTAGAAAGGCAAAAGATCAATTTCACTTTTTCCAGTGATGCTCAGAATCACAGGTTACGGTGGGGTCCTGCTGCTAGGAGATCTGTAGTATCCTCCCAAGGAGCCTAGCACAGAGTAGGAAGTGGCCTTGACATGCTGTTAGCTGGAACTTCCATTCCCTGAAATGTTCTGCAGAGCTCCCCTTGAAGGCTGGTTTAATTGCTGGAAGTAACACTGGCTTTCTACACTCGCCCTCCTGCAGCACAAGTGAAAATGCCCAAATAATTGCATTAAGGTGCTCCCCAGGTGTTTAAAGATCTGCCTCTGGCATTCCTTTGTTATTCCCAGTCATTTGCTGATGGCTGGAAGCACCAATACCATGTGTGACTGCCTTGGCAGGAGCCACATGGTGCCCTGGCATTGCTGTCACATCTCCGCCTTCTGTGCAGAACATCTTGTGCTCCTTTTGATTACTAGTCAAAAAGTTGTAAATTCTGTCTTTCTCAATATCTGTCACTTGGAGGCATCTTCTGGTTTTGCTTTTGAGCTGCCTTCTTGTTAACATCCAGCCTTTCTTTGGTGTCTGGATAAATGGAGGCCAGGGAGGAGAGCTGCAATGGCTGTGCCCATTCCTTTCCTGCAGGTGGGTGGCAGTCACATCTCAAAAACTGATGCCTGTGTGTGGGTCTGGAGTGTGGTTGCCAAGTTCCTGATGTGACTGAGACACCTGACTTGATTTTTTGCTGTGTTTGGAGTTCTGAGTGGATCTGGAGCTCTGGCAAGGAAGGAGAGGGTGTTTCCCACCCCTTGACAATGTGCCATCTCTGCTGCAGCTTAGGCAGAACACAGCAGGCTGGATTTTGTCAAGTTAACAGCTTACTTAATATAACTTAACATTCTCTGCACATGTCACAGGTTTTTGATAAGGTGATGATGTACCAGACAGCATTTGTCACTGAGTCTTTAAATGAACATCGTTACAATAATAAAAAGTGCTAAGGAAGTAGCAGGATTTATTTCCTGCCTGTATCACTTTATCAATAGATATATTTGTGGGAATAGCAGATGACTTGGGTTCAGTCCATCTGCTGCTGTGGTGTTCCCTGCTCTGGGGTAATTTTGGGAGTTCATACAAGTGTGGCTGGGTTTCAGTGTGTGTTGGACAGGGAGAGGGGGGTGCCATGAGCTGATGGTGAATCAGGGCGCTGCTTCCTCATGGAAGTTGGCAAACCCTGATCTCAAACTCTTCCACACCAATCTTCTGCCTCCAGGAAGGATGTGTGAGGTTTGTACATCTCCCTTCTGTCAGAATTCCTTGCCAGTTTCCCCAGTGCCCCTGGGTCAGCCTTGGAACTGTTCATTTCTGCTTTTGGCAGCCCTGAGTAGGGGTTGTACTGCTGTAAATGGCTCAAACTGCTACACTGAAGGAATTTTGTTTATAGGCTACTTCATCCTCAGTTTGTAAATGAAATGAAAGTCTGCCTTGCCTCTGTCGATCACCATAAAGAGGAGATGTGTCTCACAGAGCACATGAATATTGTATCCTGTTTTTTTTTAATCCTGGCAGGCTGTTCTGTAATGGCCTGAGCCATTTGTGAGGCTGGAAGTGATAAAGTGCAGTGCCTTGCTGTGCACTCAGGGAAGCAAATGCATTTTTTTTATTTTATTTTTTTTAATCCTAAAAGGATGCACAAGTAGTTCTGTGGTGAGGATGAGGCATGTGGAGATCAAGAGTGGAGACATCAGCTGTAGAACTGAAGATTTCCTGCCATGGGTTGAAAAAATAGAGTTACTCAAGGAGATGGACAAGGTCTTGCTTGAATCCTAGGAGAAAATTGGCTTTTCTGTCTGCTCTTTGCCTGCTTATCATCAGTCTTGAAGGATCCCAACCCTCTGAACAGAAACAGCTTTGCTGCAGGTATGAAACAATTTAATCCTCATTATGAACAGCATTCAGAGTAAATTTAGGAAATGGCTTTAACTCATTGTCACAGTAATTTTAAAGAAAGGTGAACCTGCTGCCAAAAATAGACTTTTATTGAGGGTTAAATTACAGTTGGCTGAGTCATATTAAGCATTTTTTTTTTATTGCCTTGAGAAATGAACTGTGATGTTGATATGTGTAAAATAAAAAAGACATTTCTCCCCCCCACAGCCATTAGATGTTCCAATGGAAGGAAGCCAACTTCCAGGGTTTTTTTGACATCATTCTCAACACAAAGGTTTCCAAAGAGGCTTTTTCCAAGGACAAATGCTAATACACAAAATTGGCTTTTTTAATTGATGTGCTCTGCCTGGAATTTTGTAAAGAGACAAAGGGATTTAATGACAGACACTTTTAATTGTTTGCCTTGGTTTTTTTTTTGTAAATTTTTGGGGAACTTAAAGAGAATAAAGCCTAAAAGAGCAAGAAATAGCTTTGTGAATAAGTGAGGTTCTTCTTCAGATAAAAGAAAAAGCAGCATTTGTGTTCTTGTTCCACAGAAGCAAACACTGAAATATTCAGAAAATCTGAATGGGTGTTTAAGGTTTGCTGTTACTATTTTTAGCTTGCCCAATTCTAAAACTAAGAATTTAATATACAGTGGCGTATTTAGAAAATAAAATGCACGTTTCTGTTTTTCTATGATTTATTGAAAACCTGTTGTCACTAAAATTTCAAATTTCATACACTTAAAGAATTCCATTTTAATGTTTTGCTGAATGTGGAGAACCCCTTTAATATTTAACATCAGCTCAAACTTTGGGGATGCCAAAACATAATTAAATGCCTATCACTTTACAGTGGAGTGATTCTGTTTATTTAGATTCCTCCTTTTTAAACAAAAATGTTTTTCTGTAAAATATTGGTTTTCATTTTTAAATAGGCATGAAGAACAGCTTGTGTTTGTGAAAACCAGACTCCCCCACCCCAAAATATTTGGTGGTTTTTTTTTCCCTCCAACGTGATGCTAATAAATGAGCAGAAGGGGAAGAGTGGCTCAAAAAAGCCTCAGGACCAATATTTAAATAACATATAGGTGACAAAAGAAATGCAAAATATTCTCTGTGGTGTATATCTAAACAGGATGGGTGCCTCAACTCCCCTCACATAATTAAAATGCTGAACAGCAGCACAGGAAGAGTTACTTGAGCCTTTGGTTCTAAAATAGCAATGCTCTGAGCAAAGCCAGGCATTTGTAGGGCTTTGGAACTGAGAGCTGTAACCCACGGGAAGCAGCTGCTGATTTATTCCATCAATCTCACATTTGAAAGCTATCACTTCTCTGGATGCCTCAGGTAGCTTTGTCATATTTCATTTGGTTCTAATTTGCATCCCCATGTTCTGCCCCGAATCTTGAGAGGGGGGAAAAAAGGCAGAATAGAGATGAAATGTACAGTTTTTCATTTCACTTTATTAACCCTCCTTATTTTTATTGAGTTTAGGATTCTTTGGAGGGTGGTCACTGCCTGCAGATCTCTGCAGGTTTAATGGCCAGCCCAGGTCATGAGAGCAAACAATCTTTAACAAAAAATAAATACAAATGCAAATCCAGGTGGAAAATTGGTGTCTTCAGTCAAGGTTTCTGCTTGATGGTTTCCATCCTGTTTGGAATTGGTGGCTGAAGGGTTTTAAAGTGAACAGACTGGTGGCACTGGCTGCCATAGGTTTGGAGGACAGACTCAGGACACATGGATGGAGCTCCACGTCTGCTTCCATCATTAAATGAGGAGGTAAGTCAAGTTTTTTTGGTTTTTTTGGGCTTTTTCCTTTTTTTTTTTCCTTCAGGGTGTTTGATAAACAGTTAATTTATTTCTGTCAGGCAGTTGAAGGCAGCTGCTGATCATGTCAAGTTCCTGTTAACACTGAATAACTACTCATTTGGGAAAAGAAATAGCCTTTTGCACATGATCTAAAATTTAGTAACACTAAATAAAATCCTAATGGCCACAGGAATATTTTTTTTGTGGTGTGATTAGAGAATAAACATTCCAAACCTTGCACATCATGAGGCATCACGTAATGAGGAAGGCTCTGAATACTGATGATACTAAATCATGAAAAGCAGTTGTACAAAATGAGCAGAAAAGCAGGAGGCAAAGATTCTGTTGGAAATTATTTCTGGGGTGGTAAAAATCTCCTCCATTGGAACTGGGAATTGCTAAAACAATTGCTTCAAGACTCTCTGGAAAGCTGAGACATGAAGGAGAGTTTGACCTGGAGCGGGGGATGCTCAGTCTGTGAAGGATCTCAGCATTAGAATATTGATTAGGTCTCATTTTGGGCCAAGCCTGGAGTTCTGCAGTTCAGGACAGGGAAATAAAACATGGCAGGGTTGTTACCAGCCCTGCCTCAGCCTCTTGGTCTCATTCTCCCCTGAGAGAATCCAAAACTATTGATTTGTTTCCTCTTCCATTGAAATAATGATTTTGGGAAGAGCTTTCAAAGTCTGGATGAAATACAGAAATGCAGCGTCTGTCCCCTGAAGATGGACAAACCCTGTTCCAAGGAAGGGACAATTGGTGGCAATCCTGCTCTGCCACAGCTGGGCTTTGCTCCTGGAGGATTCCATCCATCTGAGTGTGCTGGCCTGCCATTTCCAGGTGCTGTGGAGTTTTTAGCAGCTGTTTTGGGCTGCAAAGCTGCAGTGCTGGTGCTCTGGTACCTGGGCTGCCTGTGTGGTGTGTCTGGGAAAGGGAGGGGTGTGGAAGGCAGATCCTGGATTATCCTTGGGGAGAATCATGGAATCACAGAATGGTTGGGGTTGGAAGGGACCCTAAAGATCATCTTCCACTCCCTGCCATGGGCAGGGACGCATTCCACTATCCAGGGTGCTCCAAGCCCTGTCCAACCTGGCCTGGGACGCTGACAGGGACCCAGGGGCAGCTGCAGCTTCTCTGGGCACCTCTGCCAGGGCACAGTGAGGAGTCCCTGGAGCAGTGAGCAAGGCTGGGCACCTCTCAGTGCTAATCTGGCTTTCTCAGAGAAAGGTTCTGTTTGGGCTGAAATCCCACAAGGGCCGAAGGGAGCATGAAGGATCCAGCAGGATGTGCTGGGCTGGCTCGTGCCAGTGCCCAGTGCTTGAGGGCCTTGTGGGGAGTCTCATCCACGTGCCTTGTAATGGATGTGAACAGCCTCAAACACTGGCTGTGGCCTTCCTGAGGCCTGCAGTGCCTCTTTATCTTGTCACCCAACCAAAGGTATCAATAACCTGCACAGCCTCCCAGCAGAGGGGTTTCTCCCCATCCATCCTGCCTGGCAGGTGCTCCATCTCGATTATGCCTCAGCTCTGCTCTATCTGTCATGTTCCTGGGCTGAATGACAGAGCAGGAAGGTGCTGCTGGTGAGAGCATTTCCTGCCTTCCTAATGGGGATGTAATTAATGGATGCAGGCAGCCAGCCGAGCAGAGGCACGAGCCCTCTCCTTCAGCCACCCAACCGTGCCGTGTTACACACCCTGCTCAGGGCTGGTCTTGCATATTCACTTAAATTCTGAGGCATTGCTACGTTTAATTAATGTGTTATTGTAAACCTTTTCAGTGCTCCTGCAGCCCTTCATTGCCAAGGAGCTGGCTGGATCGATGTGGTGTCTCAGATGAGGAGGAATGTGGTGCAGGGCCAGGCGGGCTCTGACTACGTGCTTTGTCACTGGGGTGATGCTTCTGACCCGGGAGGTGTCCCCATCCTCGACCCTGCCTGTCACTTGTTCCCTCAGTGAGCTGAGTGTGCTGCAGAGGGGCTGCCAGGTCAATCACAAAAATGGGGCTGTTCAAAGGGATTCTTTGGCTCTCACCCTGCTTCCCCCACGGTCTCCTTCAGGGAGCAGATGTGTCCCGAGTTCCTGCTGCAAGGGGCAGCTGAGAAGGCCAGCGGTGAGTTTTGCTGCCTGGGTGTTTAACCCAGCCATCATCATCATCATCAGAGCACATGGAGAGCCTTGCTGTTCATCCCAAAATGGGATTTTTACCTCCTGTGTTGTTTGGGATGTGCTGCCTGCTCTCACCCTGGCACAGCTCAATGCCTGAGGTGTCCCTCTGTGCTCCAGCCAAATTCTCCAGCCCTTTGGGGCGTTGTTACAAATGGAGTTCCACGCCATGGTGTCAGTGCTGCTCCTGCACCATTAACTGGTTTAATGAGCCTCTCAGATGGTTTTTGGGGCTGAGCAGAGGCTCCTGCTCCACCTTCCTGCCCCTGTTTGCTGTCTGGTTACACATCTGGGCTGACAGTGGGGTTGGAACTCCAGCACTGGGGCCTTATTTTGGGAAGGCAGATCATTGTAGGCCAGCCCTGTGGTGGAGTTTGGGGACAGAGGGGGTGAGCAGCCACAGCTCTGTGTGCATTAGGGACAAGGTTTCCCTTGGAGTGCTGAGGCTCCACAGGCCTCTGGATCCACACCTGGCTCAGGTGTTCCATCCCCTCACCCCCCATTGCTCACCGAGCCAAACTCCCCTCACGTTTCCAATTTCACACCGACCTGCTCTTGACATTTATAAACAAACTCTCCTATGTTCATCCACTTAAAGGCAACCGAATCCGTTCTGGAGAAATTCTTTTCTCCTCTTTCCCGTTGCTGTGGCGATGGTGGCTGCTGAGCAGGGGAGGAGCCAGCCCAGCAGCAGCACAGAGCATCCTTCCTTCCTGCTTGGGCACTGCTGTGAAGGGCATCCAGTGCCTGCTGCTGCCTGTCTCGCCACTCGTTTTACCCCCAGAGTGGTTTTGAAACACAAATCTCAAAGGTTTCTACAGAGAGAAGTAAATGAGAACCAACTTGAGACTCAGTCGGGGAGGCTGAGAGCAATGATCAGCCAAAGGCTGAGAGCTGGCTCTGTAACTCAGCCAGAAGTTACTTTCTCCTTCCTCAACATAGCTTTTACTCTGGGTTGAGGGCAATTTAACCTTCTTTAAGGTTAAATTTGCTGTAGGTTTTTGGCTATGTCAGAACTTCACCTGCACCTCTGAGCTCCGGATCTCTTCAGTGTCACGCTCTTGACCCTTCTCCATCCAGCTGGACAGGCCAAGGCTCCCTCTGGAGCAGGGGACTGGCTGATTTCTGGATTCCCAGACACCTTTGGTAGCTGGGTGTGAGAAGCTGTTTGCACAGACCGTGGGATGAGAGCACATTTCCCTTGGCAGTGGGTGGAGATCACGGGGATGTTCTGTTAATCAGATCCATCTGCAGAAGCCTGGGGATAATTAATCATTTGTTTGCCCAGGATGCTGAGTGTGGAATGGCAATGTCCATACAGATTCCAGGTGATGCTCAGAGAGGACCACCTCTCTGGAAGGTGGCCTTTGGAAAGGAAGATCTTGCTCTCGAAGGTGAAACTCATTAGCTAAAGACAATAAAAGCCATCCTGAAGGGATCATGGGATTTCTCCCTGCCACTTTTGGCTCCCCCAGGGCAGGACCGAGCAGCTGGAGGATTGCAAAAGGAGAGAAAGAGAAAACTGTCTGATATCTGTGGGCTTTGATTTCTCCCCTCAGCTTGGGGGGAGAGGGGAATGTATCCAAAGCCAGAAAGCAAACGCTCCTAGGTGGGGTCTGTAAGGAGCAATACCCTCAGTGGAATTTTCTCCTGGGGAAGGAGCAGCAGCAGAGCGACAAAACTCTGCTGGTCATTGTCACAGGGGAGCTGAGCATCCTCTGCACGGTCCTGCCAGGGGGACACGTGGCACAGGTGGCATTTGCAGACAGCATCGCTCTCCCAGCACACCTCCAGCCCCAGGAGGGAGGGGAGAGGTCAGGCAACCTCCCTGTCCTGTGGGGGCTCTTGTGGCTTTTTTCATTGTTGTTTTTTGTTTGTTTTGTTTTTGGAAGGCTTTCCTCTGGGTATCTTCTCCAAATCCTCTTTTCCAAAGGCAGCTGTCTCAGCAGGGAGGTGGAAGCACGGGCAGGATGGGGATGATCAATGAGGGGAACCCCCTCCCTCCCTCTGAACTCTGAGGCCTCTGTGCGCAGTTTAGAGTGGGGAAAGGAAGAAATCTCTACCAAACATTTGTCAGGCTTGCTCCTGGCAGATAAGCTGCTCTTACTGAGTGGCTCGACATGTAATTCCACACAGCGTGTTTGTCTTGTGTTTACCTAGAAGAAGAGATTTTCTATCAATCCTAAAAAAATTAACCTCGTGTAATGGTGCATTTCCTCGGTGAAGAGGAGTGTGGAGATCTGTCAAAATGTCCAGCTTGCCTGGAATGAGGGTCCTGCAGAAGACAAGTGGCATTAATGTCTTTGAAGATGTTTCATTTAGGAGTAATGAAGTCCCCAGGCTTTTGGGGGCCCATTAATTGGACTGAAGAGGCTATAAAGCCTAGAAGGGAAATGCTGTTCAGAGCTGGGCAGGCAGAGACACTCTCAGAGGGAGAGGGTCAGATAGGTTATTTCTGCTGTAAAACAGCATCAGAAGGATGGGAAGAATTGTTCTTAAATTACACTCCTCTGCCTGGACCATTTTAGGGAAGTCAGTAAGGCTTGGAGGTCTGCTTCTAAGGGAAAGAAGGGCTTGGGTCTGAGTTTTAGTTTAATAGTGTTCATGGAAAGAAACACAAGCCTCCCTTTGCTTTCTGAATCATCAGGCAGGTTTGCAGGACTACAGGAATGAGTAATAATAAAAAAAAGTCAGGAAACTTCTTGAAGCTTCCATGTTTGTAACGCTGCAAGTCAGTGCACAGCGTCTCCCCTCTGAGGAAAAGCTCGTGTTCAGAAAGTGCCTCCTTTCAGAACCTGAAAATGCATCTTTACAATGAATATTTTTCCTACCAAGGACAGAGTGTTTGGATGGAGATGTGTTTTCTGCCTGAGACCCTGAGCAGAGTGTTCCTCTTGACAACTTCCTGTCTGTTTTAAACTGTTTTTTGAAATAATGCCCTTTCTCTTCTGAAGGCTCTCAAGCTCTCACAAAAGTGGATAAATTACCCTGTTTGTGAGGAAACAGGCCCAGAGCTGTGGTGCCTGCACTGCTGGCAGGTTCTTGCTGTTTGCCCCAACTTGCCAATAACCAAATAAAACAACATCTGCTAATTGCCCTTTCTTTGCAAAATCCCCTTATTTAATAAGCACCAGGGACTGGGAGGGTGAGTCTGTGTTGCTCACGTTGAGGTTTGACCTTGGAAAAATCCAGGTTTCTCGCTGGGGACCTGCTGCTGGTGCCAGGGGTCAGTGCAAACACGTTTTAGAGTTTGCTGTTTCTTGGGAGGGGCCTGCTGCTGTTGGAGATGTTATTTTGGCCTTGGACACCTCCTCTTAACAAGCTCCTTTGTCCTTCTCCAGGGAAGCTTTCAAACTTGCCTGAGGTTTGGAATTGGCTCTGAATAAAAGGTGTTGTGTGTCTCAAGTGCCCTCTGAAGTGGCCGGCCCAAGGGCTCTCCAGCAGCCCAAACAGCCAGCACACAAAGCCATTAAACATCGAGTGCCTGCCCATGGTTACCTGGAGAGGGTTTGCAGCTGAGCCCCGCAGGAACCGGCTTTGTCTGAAACACCACCCCCGGCAGGTGGGAAAAGCCCGGGTAGGTCTTGTTGATTCATCAGGGTGGGTGGTTTAGTCCTTCAGCTCAAGGTGAGTGGGAAGGAGCAGAACCCAGGTGTGGGAGGAGATGTTGTAAAGGGGGTTCTGTGCTCTGGCCCTCTGCTGAGCCCCTGGGATGTCCAGCTCACAGGAATAATGACCCTGCAGTCTCGTGTCCTGAAAGCAGAGCCAGGCCTGACCTCCTCAGCTCCATTTGAACCCCAGAAGTTCAACTCCTGAGCTGCCCTGGAGCTCCTGCCACCTCTTCCATGAGGAACATGCAGCTTTATTTTACCTCTTGGTACCACACCAGCTTCTCCCAGGGTGGGGAGTCCTGTGCACACCCAGTGCTGAGCCCTGTGCTCGGCCAGGAGACTGCTTGGAGTTGAACTTGAGCTTCCCTCCTGTGGCTCAGAAGGCTGTATCTACATTTTTAGGGATTTTTTTTTTTTTCCCCTCCAATTTATTGAGGTACGAAGGGAAGATTATGGCACTTGATGATTTAATCAACATAATCTCTAGATAAAACATGCTTATGTTATACTACTGGGAGATATTAATTTATGCTGGTGTGCTTCTCCAAAGGTAAATTAAATCATTAGTTTTAAGACTGGATAAGCTGCACATGTGCCCTGCCTCTTAAAAAGGCAGTTCAGGAGTTCTTAAAAGCTTCTTGTGTTGGCATTTCTCAGGAGTCATCAAATCCCTCCAGTGCAGGTGCCATGAAAAGTGGAACTGTGGTGCAGCCCCTGAAGCTGGGACACGGCTCTTGCCCAGGAGCAGAGTTTTACCGGCTCATTAATTCAGAGAGAAGGCTTCTCCCCAGCTCTGGGAAAGCAGAACTGCTCTCCAACTCAACCCTTGAGCACCTGAGCTGGTTCAGGGGGTGCCTGGAGCAGTGTCCACACCCATCTCCCGCTGGAGAGAGGCTGGGACACCCAGGGTGTGCCAAGGAGCCAAGGCCAGGTTGGGTGGCTTGGAGCACCCTGGTCTGGTGGAAGGTGTCCCTGGAACGAGAGGAGCTCTAAGGTGCCTCCCAACCCAAACCATTCTGGGATTCTGGCTTGATGTGCTCGGCTGGCCTTGGAAATTCAGTCAGCACCTCTGAACTGCCTGAAAATCCTCCCAAATGTATCATCGCAGCTCCGTGAGCGCAGAACAAGAATCAAGAGCAGGAGATACCCTCCGAGGAGAGTGGAAGGTGTCACAGCTCTTCTGTACAGGCAGGGAAACTGAGGCAGAGGGCAGCAGCAGCGTGCAGCAGTACAGTCTGGGTGCTTGGTGCCAGCGGAGTCATTGGATGTGGAGCAGATGAGATGTGCCAGTGCCGCTCCCTTGGGAATGCCCCTGTGGAGATGCTCTGACAAGGACTCCCCCCGACCCAGGGGGAGGAGAGCTGCCAGAGGCCCTCACAGCAATTTCAGGGCTATTAAGGGTGTGCTAATGAGCTTTCTGCATCATTTCCCAGCACTTCACTCCCCCAGCTCTGCCCATGCATTAACACCTCCATCCCGGGAGGGCAGCTAATACTCTGCTGATGCTCTAACTCCATTTATCATGGACCTGGGCATCGGCAGGGCTGGAGGAGCTGAGGAGAGGACTTCTCTCAGCTCTCCATCAACAGAGAGAGCAGGTGCTCTCAGAGGAGCCATTCCTGGTGCCCCAGATCTGGGGCAAGACCTCAGTGAGTTAATGAGCTGGTGAAATACGGGTGAAGGGAGAGGCAGAAGGTGCTGCTGCAGGATGCTCTCAGCCATGCTCGGGCTCTGTGCTTGTGGAGGATCCTGTGTGGGATGGTCTCCGTGCACCCAGGAAAGGCCACATCCATATGCTGTTTGCCATGAGTTCCTGGTGCTATTTTCCCTGGAACACTGAGTCCTTGGGGCTGGCTCTGCTCGGCACATCCCTGGGATGCTGGGAGCTCCCCCCACGCTGCTCTGCCTCTCTGGAGCCCGGGGCCATCTGCTCCTGGCTGGGGTGGGTGTGCTGGGGGCTGCTCCAAATGTGGGGCTTTGGCTCTGGCACTGCCAGGATTGCTGTTCCCTATGGGACAGAGCCAGAGCTGGGGGAAGGAAACTTCCATGTCTCCATGGAGGTCAGGATAGGGATGAATTCACGAGGTTATCCATCACACGAAGGGTGGGCAGCAGGTGTGGAGCTGCCCTGAAGCTTTTCCTGCTTCTGAGGCTCTCCCCATTGTGCTGCTGGGCCTGGGGTGCCTCAGCAAAGAGCACAGAGGGCCCTTCTTGCTTCACGACCTCATTTTTCCCATTTGAATGTTCAGGGACATTTTTTCTGCTTGGCTGTTTAGAGACTCCTGTGCACGGTACTTTTGCACCTGATTTATTGTGGGATGCTCTGGGATTAATTGTTAATACAGAGGGGCTGATCCAACCTGCTCTGACCTGGGCACCTCCTGGAGCTCCAGTGGCATTTTGGGACTGAAATCAGCCAATGTGGCCCTTTGCCAACCTAGAGATGTACCTGGTGGTGTGTTCAGCTCTTCTCCAGCCCCACCCTGGCCACAGGCACCCTTGAGGAGCATCCCTGGGGCTGAGCTCTTGCCCTTCACGTGGAGTTCCCTCTGTTCCTGTGTGATTGTGTGTGTGTGTGTCCAGCTCCTCAGGGGCTGAGCTCTGGGGCTCTGCCTTTCCCCTGGGTGATGCCCAGGCAGGGAATGCCCACAGGAGGTGGGAATCACCTCCCTGCTGCCACATGGGTGGCTGTCTTAGCAGGAGAGGAGATGGAAAGGTGCCCAGCTGGTACTTGTCACTTGTGACTGCAGGCATCAAGGATGTGTCACTGGCAGAGCAAAAGGGGAGCAATGTTATTTCTCCAAGTACCACAGGCTGACACGAGGTGCTGCTGAACACTCACTCTGCTTTATCTTTGCCTAGGTAAACAAGGGGAAAAGTACTTTTTTTTAATTATAAAGAAAGTATTTGTAGTCTTTCATGCTGGCAGAGCCTTGGCAATAAAGCTGGTGTGCAAGGTGTGTTTTGAGTTGGTTTAATGTCTCTTTCAGGCTGCTGATGGCTCTCCTGCATCTCCCATCCAGCCATCCAAGACTTGTCCTGCAGCCACAGAGGATCCAGGCCAGTTTTGGGGGGCAGGGACTGCACTGCCACAGGGAACTCCAGACCTCAGTCCTGGGAGAGAGACAGAGCCAAGGCAGGTGGGTTTGGAAGAGCAGGAGAGGAGGGAATTCCTGGCTCCCAGGAGGGCAGGCCCAGGGGAAGCAGGAGAGGGGGGATCCCACTGATGCTGAGCCACCCGTGCCACCACCTGACACCGAGAGATCAAACCGGAGACAGCGGGATTACCGATTGAGGTGTTTGTTTGAAGTTGAATGGACAGGAATCACATCTCAAAACAGTAAAGAATGAGCTTTTTAGCCCTTTTCCTTTCCACAAAACAGCAGCAACGTCTCGGCAGGGATGTCAGGGCGAATCTGTTTCACTGACAACAAGATTGTTCTGTCTAGACGGGGAAGCGCCGCCAAACCGAGGGAGGCTGCGGAATAATTTAAAGCCAAAATACTTTACAGACATTAAATTTAAAAATAAGAGCTGGCTTGACACAGACGATGCTTGATGGATAGCTGGTGTGAGGGTGGGCTGGCGGCTGGCTCTGACACGGAGCGTGGTGGCAGGGATTGGCAGCGTCACTGGGGTGAGCCGGTGGCTGCTGACCCATCACCTTTCCCAGATAAGTTTCCACCAGAATTGGGCCATGGAGGCATCTGAGTGGCCTGTGGAGCTCAGTGCAGGGGTTCTCTGCAATATCTTGAATTCTGAGACAGCTGGCCAGCCCTCCCTGCCCCCTCAGTGCCACCTCCTGACTGGCACCAGGGAATGTCAGAGCAGGAAGGTTTGGGTGGGTGGGAGATGAGCCTTGTGCTCCCCGCCTGCCTGGAGGGGCTGGCAGCCAGGGCTGGCTGAGGCTCAGGGCTGTGGTGGTGAGGTTGCAGCCCAGCCAGCATAAGGAATTTCCTTTCTTCTGACAGAAAAAGGAAGATGAAATATTAAAAGCATGGCTCAAAGGCTGCTGTATATATATATATATGTATATATATAATCTTTTCTGCTCAGCACTGCTTTGGTGTTGCTCAGAGACAGCAGCCAGTCAGAGCAGGAGGGATGCCAGACTTCAGGAGAGAGCAGGGAGTGGGGCTGAAGCAAGGGAGAAAGAGGAGGATTGTCTCAGGTGGGTTGATTTCAGTGGGGCTCAGGGTGAATGCTGACACTTCAACTCCACCACAGCCTTTAGGACTTTAGTTTCTGTTCAGCATCAGGAAACAAAACCTGTTTTTTTTGTCTCTGTCTGTACAGGTGAGGGCAGTGCCCTCTGAAGCAGGAGGACACATCCATGTGGGCCACTGTCCTTGGATGTGGGAGGATGGGAGGAGAAGAGGGCCAAGGCATCTGCCTTGGAGATGGAGAAGTCCTGCAGGCTCCCAGCTTGCCATTTGTGCCATCCTGGTGAGTTGAAGGGCCCCTGAGGGCTTTCTGGAGTGCTGGTGGTGTGAGGTTGATGTGAGGTTTCTCCCAGGGCCAAACTATTCCATTTGCTTCTGCTGCTGGCCTTGGGACCTGGCTGTGTGTGACATGTGCTGTGTCCTGTACTCGGGAAAAGCTTCCCAAGCAGTCCCCAGAGGCTCAGCTGCTGCCTGGGAGCAGGAGCCAGCACCCCAAAGAGCCTTCACGGGAGTGCAGTGAAGAGAAGGAGAGGCTGCAGCAGGGAGAGCTCAGGGCTGTTGTCTGCCAAGGGAGGAGTTGGAGGGATCCAGTTCAGGGTGTTGAAAGCTGTTCTTTCCTCCTCTGCTCCTGCTCTGTGTCAGCAGGTCTTGGTCCTCAGGAATGTGGGAAAGGGAAGATGCAGGGAGGGAGTGGGCTTGGAGCAGGATTAACATCACACCTCTGCAGGCACTGACAGCAAGGGCTGTTTATTTGCTGATCAAGGATGGAGCAGGCTGGGGCAGTCACTGCCCAGAGCTCACAGATTGGGATGAGCTGTGGAGCAGAGCCTGACCTCGACTCCAGCTGCTGCCTGCCCTCAGCTCCTCTGTCACCTCTGGCAGGGCAGGGTGGGGACAGGCAGGAGAGGGGGGACCTGATGTCCCTTTTCCCACAGCCTTGTGCATTCCCCTGCCTCCTGCTGCCTGTAAAGCACCCTGTGATTAATTACACCGCTCTGCAGCCAACGAAAATTTATTTAGAGTGTTGTGCTTGCTGCTGCTGCCACTTACACAATGGCAAATGTGCCGTGGCTGCTAATGGGTCACTGAAGGGGATCACAGCACTGGAGCTGCTCTGGGAGCAGGGCAGGGACAGGGAACACTGCCAGGAAGGTGAGACAGATCTGTTCTAGTAGAATGGGCTATGGTGCTTGCAGGAAATTGCTTGCTTCCCTGATAGCATCCAACTACTTTAATAAATCAATTTTTCCACTAGTTTGTTTAGCCTAAGCTTTCTCCTCCCTGCATCCTAAAAATTAGTCTAATAGGACTTTTTTTTTTTATCTCTGAGAGGTTTGGAAATTATTTTCCTTCAAGGATTTCGCTTTCCTTGGGGTGCTCAGAAAAAGAGGGGCTGAGGGAGTTGTCAGCTGAATAAAAAAGCCTCAGAAAAAAACCTCCCTAAAAATGCTACCCAAAGGCATGCAGAAATCAGCCCAACCTGAACCAGCTGACATCCCTGCTGTTGAATTTTAATGTTTCTGTGGGGCTGGCTTGTGTGAACTGAAGCAGGCTGTGTTTATTCTATAGAACTCTGTGGGTATCATGCACTGCATGTCACTCCCCCAGTGCACTGAGAGCATTTCAGCTCGAGGAACCATCAGCAACACGGTTATCTTTTCTGCCAGTCCTGCCTGATAAATCTGCTCCCTCCAGGATGGCTGAGCCCAGTGAGTAGCCCAGACCTGTGTGTGTGTTCAGGAGAAAGCAAAGCTCGTGCTCAGGAGCTGCTTGCAGGGATCCCACCAGCTTCACACAGCCCCAAGGGCTGCTCTAAAAACATGGAATTTGCAGAGCTCTGCACAAGCAGTCCCTGGGTTTTTCCAGCCTGTTGGGATTCAGGTGGGTCTCAGTTTGGAGGGGCAGAAATGTGCTGTAATTCCATGAGCCCTGCTGTCCTTCCCGACCTTACACTGCAGATCCATTGCAAAACTCAGCCTGGAGTCAGTGACTTGTGCTGGGCTTTGGCTTTCTGGCCTTGCTGGGCTGTGTCCCATGTGGGCAGGTGTCTGGCATTTGATGTCCTGCAGGGCAGAGCTCCTGGCCCAGGGTGAAGCTGGGCTGGGAGCCTCCTTTCCCAGATCCCTGTCCGTGGTGGCGATTTCCCTGGATCTCAGCTGGCTGTGGGAGCCAGGAGCTCTTGTCTCAGCCATGCCAGCTTCCTGGCTGCCTGTGGCACACAGCCATTCCCCTCCCTCCTGCTGAACTGCTGGTACCACTTTTCCCCTCCATTTCAGCCCTCACAAGGACATCCCCGACTCTGGGAGCCGCAGGATCACAGCTGGCTCCAGCAGCTCCCCTGGATTTTCTCTGCCCTGCCTGAGCTCTCCAGAAGCACCCTGCTGCCGTGGATGCAGATGGGAAAGGGAGCACTCCTGGCCTGGAGCATCTGAGGAGAAACAAGTGGGATGACTTGTCTTCAATGACTGCAGCTGCAGCACTGGCTCTTGCTGAGGGATGGAGGCTGCTGGAGAAGGTCCCCCTTTGTCCCCCTCTCTGGGCAGAAGGGGCTGGAGGAGCCTGGCAGGGGCAGAGGAGCTCTCTGGGGAGCTGGGGTGTCTCTGAGCTCCTGGCCCTGCCCCAGCAGTGCCCTGGAGCAGAGGGGCACAGGGCAGGCACTTGCAGGCTCTGAGCAGGCACTGGGGAATGCAGAGAGCTGCCTCCCTGCTCCCTTCTGAGGCCACGGGATGTGGGAGAGAAAAGTGACTTTTACAGAAATAAAGGAGACTTCCTTTTGGGTCAAGTGCTCTGGAAGGGAGCGATTTTGAGATGAAAGGCTTTTTGCTCTGGTAATACAGATTCACATTGCCTAGAGGGAAGTCTGCCTTATGCCGGGGTGTTTTTCCCTCTGGGGGCATTGCCATTGCAATTGAAGATGAATTTTCAACATACAAAAGAGAAGAAGAAAGCTGAGAGAAGGCTTTAAAACATATCAGGGATTCTCGTGGTCTGTTTTAATTTGTCAGCTTGTCTCTCTTGCTTGTAACATCCCTGTTGGGTGCAGGGATTGTTCCTCCTCTTCCCTTTGTGACTTTGCTCCTTCCCTCTGGCATCTTCATCAATCCCAGGCTCTGCTTTTAATATTTTTCAGTTTTTTCTTTTTTTCTTTTTCTTTTTTTTTTCCTTTTCTTGCACTCAGGGCTGGTTGACAGAGCAGCAGGAGCTCCTGTGTGCTGCCCTGGGTGATCCCTGGGCTGGAAGAGGTCAGAGAATCACAGGATGGTTGGGATTGACCTTAAAAGCCAATTTAGTTCCAACCCCCTGCCACGGGCAGGAACATCACCCACTGGATCAGGGTCTTGGTTAGCAGGGCTGGGGAGAGACCAGCCCTCAGCCCCAGGAGCAGCCAGGTGAAGCCCCCTGAAAGGTCTGGCATGGACCCTTTCCCTTCAGTTTATAATCTGAATGGTCTCTTTTGAAAACATGTTACATTTGGCTGTGGTAAGGCCACGGGAAGCATCAGAGTGTTTAATTTCTCTGCTTTCTGCTGGTTTCTGCCCCCCTGCCCTGCAGGGATGAGGCACACGCTGGGCTCTGCTGCTGCTTAGTGTGAAGTGCTGTAAAACCCCAGCATTGATTTCTCAATCAAAGGTGTCTGTTTGCTCCTCGGTCTGTGCTTTAATGCCTGAAAATCCATTTTTCACTCCCCAACAGTTTGCTGTAAGGATTTTAAATCAACTGTTGTGCTTCAGGGCTCTGGGAAGGGAACGGATTCAGTCGAGCTGGCTCACCAGTGAGTTTTGAAGCAGACAGAAAACAGCCAGAGCCTGTGGGGGCTCTCCAGTCTCAGGTGAGACCTTTGCCTGTGCATCACTGTGCTTGGTGCAGGACAGTGCTCTCCTTGTCCAGCTTTCTCTCTTTGGGAAGCTGTGGGTCTCCCTCCTGCCCCAGCAGCTCAGCAGCTCTCTGCTCCCCAGCCTTTGGGGGTTGAAGTTTCAGGGTGTCCTGGAAACAGATGCCAGAAAAGCCTCCAGACTTTGATATGAGATTAGAAAGGAACACTATGTTCCCACCTGCACTTCCCATATTGTCTTGGCAATCCCAGCTCTTGCTGGCTGTTTCCAGAGCACTGTGCTCTGCTGCTCTTCAGGGGCTGCACAGCTGCCCCAGGCCTTGCTGAAATCCAGCTGCTGTGGGGAGGAACAGAGCGGCCTGGGGGGCAGCAGGGAATGCTCCTGCAGGAATTGCAGCTGGGAAAGCTGCAGCAGCTCCTGCCATGGCCTCTGCCCCCTCCATCAGCTCTCCTTGATTACAGTGAGGTAGTAAAGATCTTCTTTCTTTCCCCTTGCTAGAGGAGGGCAAATGCCATGGAAAATCCTTTCCAAAGGTGGGAGTGGGGTTGCTCTGCAGCTCTGGGAGGTGCTGGGGAAGGCTGGTGAAATGCAGGTGACTCCTGGTGCTAATTGTATGCAGCAGATTTATCTGGAAGGAGCTGAAGGATGTGCATCAAGGATGCCTCAGCTATTCAAGTGAGAAATCAAATTAAACTTTGCATCAAACAGTGGAGCTGCTCTGTGCTGGGAGTTGTGTCGGATCCATTAAGGTTTCTCCGTGCTGGGCCCCCAGGAGTTAGTGGAGAGGAAAACCTCAGTGTCAGGGGTGTGTTTGCTGCTCACCTGGATGTGCTAATGATGTGGGCAGGAGAAAAGGGGATTGGTGCTTTAACCTTCAGGATACCTGTGTGAGGAGAGGGACGGTGGCTCCACAGCAGTGCCTGTTCTGTGTGCCCATCAGCAGGCACTGAGGGATCCTCAGTGATCAGCCCAGGGAGATGGAGGTCTGGAAAATGCTCTTGTCCCAGTTACCTGCCTCCTGTTCTCCCAGAAACAGGCCGGGACACGGAGCCCCCTGGGGAGCCCGGGGTGTCTGGGAGAAATTTGAAGGAAAGCAAAACTATCAGCATCACACAGAAGTGCGGCTCTGATTTGCTTCTCGTCAGGCTCAAGTCCACGTGTGCTGCAGGCAAGGGAAAGATCTGGACAGCACACTGCTGCCTGCACAGGGACAGATTGCTGGGAGGCTGGATGGAGCAGACTTGGCATGGGAGAGGTGGCAGCCCAGAGGAATCTGCCAGCCTGGTGCCAGGGGAATCGTCTGCTGGGAATCTGTGCAGGATTTTGGCTGCAAAATGATTTCCTCACACAGCACCAGAGGCTCTGAGCGCTCCCAGGTAACCAAAGCTCATCCAGCTCTCACCATGGTGATGGTGGGATGCACCAAAGAGCTGGCAGGAGGAGGAGAGGA